GTTGCTGCTGCTGCTGCTGCCGCTGCTGCTTCTGCTGCTGCTGCTGCTGCTGCTGCTGTTGCTGCTGCTGCTGCTGCTGCTGCTGCTGCTGCTGCTGCTGCTGCAGCCGCTGCTGCTGCTGGATCTGTACCTCATTGTTTGAAACCCAGAGTGCTAAAACATTCGAAATTAATTTATGATTTTTTTAAGTTTATAATTCGAAGACATTTCTGTTTTCATATCACTTTCACGAGAATAAATCATTAGTCGTACTAGAAAATAAGAATCTCGCGACGTATTGTGTTAAGCCTTAAATTTATTGAGTGACATTAAATGAAACGTGTTTAATCACGAAGTTCATGATTGAAACCAGGCATTTGTACCAAATATGTAAAAGTAAACACATGAAAGGATCATTATTAAATGTTATGATTGAAAAACAGAAAAGTGAGAATCCGCATAAATAGCAAAAATACATTAGAATTTTTCTATTTTGTCAAAATTCTCAAATTCAGTTATTTAATGATCTGCGAAATCTTTACTTTTCAGTATTTTCCGCCGCTGATTGCAATACGTTGCGTCATTGCAATAGAATAACGCACGAAATTGTATTACATACGGTATAAATGCCGGCGCAAAGTGTGTATTAATAAAATAACGTGTAATTAATGATTTCGAAAATAGAAATGAAGGTTGCGATAAACACGTGCATAATACTATGAAAACAGATAACCCTTTCATTACACTTATATGTCACTTCCTGTCACCATTTTTATATATAAGTATATAAATAAATGTAATGTTTAACATATACAAATGTAATAAATATTAACGTAAATAATACTTTTTACATTTATTTTAGAACAAATTATAGCTATTATCTGAATTAGTAAATAAAGCTTGAATTGTCTCGCGCAAAAAAGTAGAGAAATTAAAAAAATACTATACATAAACTATACTATACATAAATGTGACAAAAGTACATATTTCTGGATAAACAATATGAAACAGAGTAATATAAATAAACGTAAGTGTCATTCAAAATAGAAGTGCACCACAAAATAATTATTAGCGCAATTATTTTGACCGTTAATAGATCATCTAGCTGTCACAAGGAGCTTCTCATCTGCTTGAGAAATTATTATATCTCTCACGTGTGTTACTTATACCCCTCCGAGATGCGTTTAGTTGCTGGTTTGCTAACATTAAGGTATGCGATCCTTAATGTTACTTTCTAATATATGTAGTCACCCAGCATCCAATATTACTTCTGATCTAATTCGATCAGCCGTTGAATTTCGTAATAGAAAAATGTGCAAAATCAATTAAAATCGAAGAAGTATAAAAGAGACGCAGGATTAATCTGCCGTCGTATTTACGCTCAACATTAAAAATACGTAAATCGAAAGCGAAAGAGGCGAAGATTACGAAAAACGATCGCATAACGTTACAGTCCGTGTCCTTCTCAAGACAATTGATTCGCTTATGGCATAGAATTAAATATAAGTCGGTAATTCGAGTCGAGATTCAATCGGGATCAATTCAATGGCAGCTCTCTCGGGGATTCGGTTCAAGATCTAGGTTTAAGAAACGATAATGTGGAAGCAATTGCGGCGATTGAAAATACGGGGAAGCGCCAGTTATACCGCGCGATGATTCATCACTTGAATGTTGCGATGAGATGCGTCGGGATTCACAATTGCAGTTTCGCCTAAAGCAGATGAGAAACTGTGCACGAATGACGTCTGCGGGTGATCCGTATGAATCATGATTACATCAAGATTAGTTCCACCGATATCTCCGTGCCAGTATATATCCCTTCCCTTCTTCCCGTATTTACGAATTTACTAGATTTTCTGCTAATTGGTTATCGAATAATTTCTATTACATATTCGTCCCAATTATTTTTCAAGCGGCGCAAAATAATCTCTTTGCACTAAACTGACGATAGTTAACTCTTATATTCTACAATCAACGAATTTTTTAACACGCGAGATAAACAAGAACATAGTGACAGCATGGACAATGCTCGAAGCGAATAGCATTATAGTGGATCAATTAATTTTAATCTTAAAGGGAGGGGGGAGAGAGAGAGAGCAGACTATAATATAATATTAAGGTAAAAATAAACAAAAAATATACAAGATGAAAAATAGAGAAATCTTGAAACAACAAGATTTAATAAAATAAAAGGTCGGAAAAAATGTTAGCGTGTCTATTTAATTTATTCTATCGGCGTGAAGAGTGACGGTAGTACTCGATAAAAGAAAATACAGCTAATAAACTGTCGAACTTTCGCACAAACATATCTTATGTGTACCTTACAGCGATCTTCTATCCTGATCTTCGATAATATTGACAGTTTCACGCGGAAAAAGTTTAAAGGTAATCGGTGTGGGAGACAAGCTTGATAACAATCTCGGGGACCGAAGAAAGACTGCTTCAACTCGGCGAGTTGAAAAACTGCTCTTGTTCGCGTTCACGGCTCTGAACACGCGGACAACAAATGATCGCGCATGCAAACAGCCGCGTGCTGGCAGACGGGACGACCTAATTATCGCCCGCTGTCATTCGCGTGTGAGAAAACTTGTAATTTTTTTTTGTTCACGACTCGGAAGGAAAATGCACGGGCGAAGGATTAACAATAAGATGCGAAGGGAGGATCAAGCAACATTTCGTCGAAACGCATATTTAAGCGTATTTAAAAGAAATAATGGGAGAATTACGCAAGAATGACGTAAGAAATTATTGATCCGACGAGGACAGATTCCGCGAGATCTCAAACGAGATTGTCGATATTCGGGTGCCCGGATGTTTCGCGCGCCCGCATCATCACGCATCTGTCAGCAGCGTCGGTAGTCAAAATCAGCTGTGGGGGGCCGCGATCGCGTCCAACTCTATAAATTATAATATCGCGAGAGAGACGGAGAGACGGAGAGAGGGGGAAGTGACAGATAATGTGACTAATTATCGAATATACCGCGCGGATTATGGACTTTGCACTATTATATCTCCGTCGATGGGGCACGTAAGAGCAAAGATAAAGGCACTTTTTTCCCTTACTACGTAATAGATGCTCACCATGATCCACTCGGCTCGAAAACCCGTTTGGCGTAATACATTTCAGATACTTCTTCTCAATTTCTTGTATTTCTTTCGCGATAACGAAATCAAGTCAATCGTCGCAGACGCGGACGTACCGTTTTTCGTCTCCAATTTTGCCGCACGGATTTCGGATTTGTTACATTCATTAGGTTCTGTTTATACAAGAAGTTAACCGTGGATCACGTTCCCGAAAGTTGATAAATAAAGCTTTTTACACTCGTTATCTCCTCGGCTCTTCATTTACGCATTGTTAAATATACTTAGTCGCGCTAAGTAGACGAGATAGGTCAGTAACGTGGAAGCAAGCCAGTATCGTAGTGCCATAGACGTAGGTCAGGACGATAGCGTTATAGAGAGAGGTCAGTATCACGGCACATACAGGGTGTTCAGAAAATCTCCCAAATATTTCTAAGAGACAATTAATTTTGCACTCCACCGTCTTCCTTCCTTTCTTCCAAATATATATTAATACCTTTGGACAATCCTCAAATCAGTATCGACGGCATGCCGCGCGTATAAACCACGATCTAATTTATTTATCGACTGTGCTACTCTTCGACAAAATATGAAGGCGTCTTGCAACATCCGTTGGTCGAGTTCGACTGTCCGCAATTCCGCCTCTCGTACGTCCGTGAGGTCAATCGAAGGACGCTGCGCCGTAGTCTCTCCCCTTTACGGACAGGGCACGAAGCAACGTAATAGCTTACGACAGAGACGCAAGCGTAAACGTAGATAGCGCTATCTACGTTTACGCTATCTACGTTTACGCTTGCGTCTTTCTCGTAAGCTATTACGTTGCTTTGTGCTCCGACCCTTAGGCAGGTCTTCTACAATAGACGCAGCAAGCCGCAAAGAAACGGACCAAGCATAGCCAACGATAAGAATAAACGAATGTCGTTGGCCGATTTCTTGCGGCTCGCGATCGCCGCGTCTATCGTAGATCCAACCTTAGGAAGAGCCGTCGGCGTAAGATCGGGAGAAATTATTCAGGCGGATCTGATAAGGCGCAGGAGAGCGGCTTTCGTCCGGACTTTCGAAAACGGCGTGACGCGCCTGTGACGCGCGACGCGCGACACGTTCGCGGGCCGGGCGTCGAGCGGTCGAACCCCCTTTTGCTGCCTATACAAGTCGCGAAGAAACGGGAAACCGGTCGGAGCGGGTACGCCCGAGCTTCCGCCGAACATTATCGCTCGAGCGTGTAACGAGCCGACAACTTTTCCATCGAATGCTAATTAAGGGCGAGCCGGTACGAAATGCTGCGCCTGCGGAGCGGCGAAAAATCACCCCGCGGCCCCCGCGCGGCGATTAAATCGGAGCGGCGAGGTTTCTGTCGATGATCGATGGAGGCTCAACACGCGCCAAGTACACGAGCATTTTTTATCATGTCAAACGGCTTTATCGGGCGACCGTGTCAGGCGAGGAGCCGATAGAAAAATCACGTCGCGGTTGCGGTCGCAAAAACAAATTAGCAGCCCGCGGAAAACAAGTCGGGAAACGCGTCGCGGAGGTGGATGCGCCGAGGGATTTTTTGGCAAAGTGTCAGAGGAAAACGCGCGTGTTAATGGACTCTCGGGGAAAGAAAAAAGTAAAGGCGAATATGCAAATATTCCTTTCTCTGTAAGGAACGCACGAGTGTAGGCAGAAAGGCGCGAACGTGATTGACGCGTGTCACGAAATTGAAAAGGAGGCAGACACCTCGTCTGCTTCTCGTTAAAAAATTTTTTGCTCGAGTGAAAATATCACCGTTTTTTTTTAAGACTACAGTTAGACCCGATCGAGACGTGAGCCGACAAATGAAGTGACACGATGAGAAACAAACGTACCTCGCACATTTCGAATCAAGTCCGAAAAAAACGGTTCAATTTTTGACAAGGAAAATTGCTGGAAGATCCTTCGAACGGAAGAATAAAAGTAAGAGCAAGAGAATACCTTCCGGTTGTACCGGCGACGAGACAAAATGCAAGAGATTCACGTGCGCCATTCGTCCTTGGGAGTTAAAGACCGAGCGGAATTTACTGGCTGGCCACAGGTCGAACGTTAAATTAGCGCGTTACGTGTCTCTAATGTAGACGCGGCAGTATTTATTTTATTTTATTTTTTTTCTCTTCAAGATTACTCCGCCGAATCGAAGCAGCAGCGCCTTTGGCCCGACCTTTACGACCACACAAACGCGAATAACAATCCGCGACGCGTTTCAGCCCTCCCGAGAGAGAGAGAGAGAGGAGATTCCCTCGCGCGTAAGTATAGAATTCGCGTTGTAAGCGCGCCAGGTCGCGTAACTCGCCCCGCCGCCCCCCGCTTCCGCGTTTCCGCTCGCGTGCGGAGCGAGGCGTCCTCGCCGGTTCCGTCGCGCCTGGCGAAGAGTCTTTTGAAAAGCGCAACGCGCGTAAATCGGATTTCTGAACGAGCGGGCGCACGCGTCGCGCTCATTCCCATCGATTCCCGATAAACTCTCGCTGCTCCGCGAGTCGCGGGCTCGTACGAGGTGGGCAGGTTCGATGAACCGGCCCCGCGCGCAAGTACACGCGGCCGCTAATTATAGAAGACACGCGCTAATCTCATTACTCCGCGTTTATACCCCCGCGTCTTAGGCCGCGAGCTACACACTAGAGAGATCGAAGGTGAACTTACGTGGTCCAAAAGAAGTGATCGGTAGCATCATAATATTTTTCTTCATTTTCGCAACTTCTCTTTGTACTTGGACGACCCGGTA